TGCACGTGACTTATATCTCACTTTATAAGTAAAGTGAAGTTGAAAGTTTTTGCACGCCCTGAAATGTTCCCTCCCTTCTCCGTTCTAGCCTGTGTACTGTGTAGACGTATTCGACTGATGTTTCTGACTTGATATTTACTGACGCGTATTTACTGACTGACAGTGTTTATTTACAGATGATTTCATTCATAAATTATTAATAACATGAATAATTCACCAAAAATCATTCTCATAATTCACCCGAATATAAATACCGCACTATTAAAAGTGCATATTATCCCACCACTACCCAAGCAATCATATCAAGAGTGATGGTTGGGTTGTGTGTAGATTACACACTCTAAACCACGGTTGTTGTCCATCGTCCTCAATCCAATCTAACTGTTGTAGTACTATAGTATACTATAGTATACTTGTTCTTAGAGCATTTAAAGTTGCTTGATTTGATAATACCTCAGATCGGTTAATATTTTTGCTGTATATTATTCGGCTTGTAAAGCTAAGTCTGTATATTGTATGATCTTGATGTTTTTTCTGGTTTTCCATTTGTTAACTGATTTTTTAAATGTTATAATTTGTATTCACAACGATTGTTTGTGAACCATGTTCTATGTTGGTTGTTATGTTTATTGTAGGTGTGTTTTATCAAATATAAAAGTGGGCCACAACTATTCAAAAAAAGATGGGCCCTTGTCGTGGTTGTCACGAAGTAACTTGTTGTTATGAAGTTGCCAGGAAACTAACCCACCCCACGTGACTAGTTGGATGCGAAATGCGATAGCACGATACTGGGACTTGCGGTGGGTCGCTATGTGACCCGACAAAATGCGTCATGACCATGGCTGGAAGAATCATTAGAATCATAAGGTCACAACGGCACAATGGTAAGAGTGGTAAGCAAAATACTCTTGATTACTACTCTTTTTGTAAGCCAGCAGATTTTTGGTTTTTAGCATTGTGAAGATGATTCTGGTGGCGCATCCTATTCTGCGCACTTTAGCACAACCTCGTGTTCTGCGCGCACTCGTGTTCTGCGCGCACTCGTGTTCTGCGCGCCATCGTGTTCTGCGCGCCATCGTGTTCCTGTGCAAGCAGTCATTTTCTTTTGGTTTAAAATCAAACTACTGCTCACGGATGCATGTTTAGAGTGCTGCAGAATTTGGTTTTCAGTGACGTAAATTCGTATAATATACTGCAGAATTTGGTGAAGTTTAAAGTGACGTTAATACGTCTAAATTTATATAAGATGCAAATTAATTCCAGTCCGCAGAAATTGCGCTGCTTCGAAATATCATCACCTGCAAATTATGTAACGTCTAAGTCGATGAATAATTAATTTCAATAAACGAAATCTTTGCAGCTTTTCCTTCCATCATTAGAAATTACTCTGAATCCTTTCAATTATGTACCCCCCACCCCCCCCCCCCCCCCCCCCCCCCCCCCCCCCCAGGTCCCAACTCATTACTCAGTTAAAATGTTCACTTTTAAAATGGCAACCTCACGATATAGTGATGAAATGTTCTCTTTGTTTGGGACACTTCCTCGGAAATTTACACCACTTCTGTGAAGTACCATTACCTCGAGTCATCGCATAGAAACGATACAATAATTACTCCAGTCAGACACTCAACTACTCTCTCTCTCTCTCTCCCTCACTCTCTCTCTCTCTCTCCCTCACTCTCCCTCACTCTCTGACTTCAGTTTTCAACAATGTAACATGACTCTTTGTCTCGTAACTAATTTTGTAAACACTGGATATATGTTTAATCTTTCAGTAAACGTAATGCCTTGTTTTACGAGGTCTTATTACGCGTTGAGATGAGTTACGAGTCTTCACTCTGTACAATATTTCTGGTTCCATGTGCAATTACACGGCCCTTGTGTTGTGGTCCCTTGTGGTCCCTTGTGGTCCCTTGTGTTGTGTGCTACTTGTTCTGCTAGTTTCTCAACATATTTCATTTCTCGCGAGTTTTTCTTACAATTCGGGAGTACAACGACAATAAGTTTGTTTTCCAGCCTCTTAACCCTTTAAAGCTAAAGTTTATACCTTTATTCTTTATCTAACGGTACACAAGAGAGTATTGTTGTTAACCCTGTCCAGGGTGCGCCAAATGGTCTCTTATTAGTTGTTACCTCCTCATCCCCCTCTATATATCTCTCTCGTTTCCTTTCAAAAGTTTACCTTACCGCTCTTCATGCGTGGTTCCTTCATACAACTTCTTGATGTCATTACTAATACTTACCTCCGTTCAATATCTGGGATGAACGTAGAACTTGGGTTGTAGATAAGGGCACCCTCAACCTGGCCCTCATCTCTCAATCTTGTTAAGGGCACCTTCAACCTGGCCCTCATCTCTCAATCTTGTTCTGATAACATTGTTACTGTTACCATCTAACTTACCCGCTCTCCAGTTAACTTAGTTCTAAAAATAGCTCACTTCTCTACAGCTCTCTTTATCAACCAGACTTCTAACCTTGGGTCACGTGATGCAACAACTGGCTTATAGTTTGATATATGTGGATGTCAGACGATATAAAATATTATATTTCACCCTGACACCTGGTCACTCCAGAGTTGAACCCGGTCATGTGGCCCTGTCCTCGCTCCTCATTGGCTTGTTGGACATGAGGAGATCGCTGATTGGTTAGTTTGCGGCAAACTAGGTCCTGATAGGTGGTTTGCGGGGAGGCACACCTGGTCGAGTGTCGCTCGAGAGCTCTGTTGACTCACGACCTATAGCGTCGTGTATTATTATTTACGAGTTAGCGCTCTGTATTACATTGAGCCGTTGTTTTGAGCCAGTCCAGCGCTGGACTGGAGTGCGGAGCAGGTCCGCGTGTTGTTGCTCCCCCTCTCTTTCCTCCAGGGAGCCCCTCTCTCTCTTACTCTCACCCTCTCTCTCTCTCGTAATACAATGTACACACTATACTTGTACAGTGTGTAGCAATTACACAGAATTACCAGCTATTGTCATGCCACATAATGAGCCGCACGTGGGAGCCCTGCTGGTCTCTGAGTGGTGGAGCGGTTAGGTCTCGTTCTGCTATTGGCTGGGTATAGTTACTGTACCGGCGGTACAACAGCAGTCTACTGCCCACGCGCTCACTACTCTCTCTCTCTCTCTCTCTCTCTCTCTCTCTCTCTCTCTCTCTCTCTCTCTCTCTCTCTCTCTCTCTCTCTCTCTCTCTCTCTCTCCCTCTCTCTCTCTCTCTCTCTCTCTCTCTATCTCTCTCTCTATCTATCTATCTCTCTCTCTCTATCTATCTATCTATCTATCTATCTATCTATCTATCTATCTATCTATCTATATATCTATCTATCTATCTATATATCTATCTATCTATCTATCTATCTATCTATCTATCTATCTATCTATCTATCTATCTATCTATCTATCTATCTATCACTCTCTAATCTCTCAAATTCTATCTATTAATCTATAGGAGAGAGAGATGATAAAGTGGGTGTGGGAGGACGTGTTACGGTTAGTTAGCGGTTTACCAGGTTCCTAGCCAGCTCTCTCCACCGACCTGTACACCTGAGCCAGGCTCCAGTGTAATAGGCACTCCACTTTTCTCTCTCTCTCTCTCTCTCTCTCTCTCTCTCTCTCTCTCTTTCTCTCTCTCCCTTTCTCACTCTCGCGCAGACAATTAGTGTGCTGTTCAGTGCTGTTATTGCGTAACGTTTTGTTTTGTGCCAGTGGAAGTGCTTGATAGTGTTCTCTCTGTACCAGAATAAGGAATAGATTATTTATCCCAAGAAAAAATCCGTTCAAATGAGCCACACCCATATTATATCTCCCATATTATTACTACTTAAATGATATATTGCGAAATGTATGCATATATGCTTTTTGCTTTTACTTAACGCCCATAATTTCTGCCAGACCTATTCGGATAATTTCTTTGGCCGGAACGAAATCGTAATGGAATTAAAGACTAATTATAATAGGAGCTTGCCATATGTCCTCAGAGCTCAATATCTTTGTAGTAGCACAGACCTGTTATTATGCTATTTATTACTCGACTGCGAAGCTTTTCATTTCCTCTTACTGTCTCCACTCGAGGCTTGCTTGACGTTGTGTAATGTATGTTCACTTGTTATTATCGACGAATCTTCAATCGACTGTCGATTATAACCGTATTTTCTGGACTGGTTCTGTATTCGGTGTTCTAGAATTTTTGGAATCTTTGTAGCAGGCTTGCTTGTTTTCGTTCACTTGCAGTACCGGATTCATATCAGTGGTAATCTATAACAAAAAACTTTTCTCTGTAATGAGAAAGCCAAATTCTCTCTCCAAAACCACCGAAATAACAAGAAACCAACTAGCAGTGAAGGTTTGAACTCTAAGAACACCTTTATCTCGCCCCACCTGACCTCCACTATCAGTCCTTCTCCTCAACAACCTCCCATCTCTCGTGTACATTACCTGACCTGTGATATGTCTGGAGCAGCTACCGCCCTGCCCTCATCTTGAGTATGACTCACGTCATCAAGTGCTATCACTCCTTCCAAAGGAGCATGAGGGACAGGAGGGCCTCCCGGAGACAAACTCGTGGCAATACTCCCATACTTGGTTAGTTTTACTCCCAAACTCGTGGCAATACTCCCATACTTGGTTAGTACTCGCGGCAATACTCCCATACTTGGTTAGTACTCGCGGCAATAATCCCATACTTGGTTAGTTTTTTCCTGGTTGTAATCTGGTTACTTTCTCTGGTGATGTAGCATCAATTTGTTGAGTAATCTGGTAATTGTTTTACTGCGTCGTCTGTCTGCTTTTTTTTCACGCAGTAACAAAGTTTCCGCGCAAGACTTCCCGCTTTTTTATCAGGCGTCCGTCAAAACTAACAATAACAAAAAAATAAACAGTATAATCCATGGTCATTGGTCAATAGCCAATCACATCATCCTATCAATATTAATTAAATTGCTAGAAGGTTACCTAATCTAAGGTTAAATCAATTAATCAATCAACTAATAAATAATCTTTTTGCAGGCACGAGTGAACCAGAGGTTGACGATATGGGAGTTCCTATCTGGGACGGAGTGTCCAAAGGAAACGCTGCCAAAAACGACAAAAAACCTGGCAAAAAGTAAGCTTAATAGTCTTTTTTCAGTGCATATTTGAAATGTTTTCGTGTTCCGTCCTTACCAATGATTTACAAGATTCTGGTCGATTGATTACTCTCAGATTTGGGTGCTTTAAAGTGGGTCTCACTATTTCTCTCACTACATGTTCGCACTATTTCTTGTTATGTTGTGATTATGATGCACTGAAATGGCCCTATTATTATCCTGGTACGTGGTGGAATGAGGCGGGATATTATAGCCCCTCCCACACCATACCAACGTCACCCAATCTGTGTGTATTAACTGCCCATCTGGTCGCATTTAGAGATTTAACACGCCTCCGCAGAACTGCTACTTCCACCTCACTGTGTCCTGTGTGGTTCCATTGTCACGTGGGCGGTTCCATTGTCACGTGGGCGGTTACATTGTCACGTTGGAGGGGTTAAATACTTTTCGTGTTGTTAATGTCAATATCTTCGTATCTTGTAATGCTAAAAGTTCTTCCTTATTCTCCAGCTATTAAAACACAATATGGAATGTACGTAAACGCTACGTCAGATGAAAAATGGTTTTCTCCTATGAATTACGTAACCACATGACTCTAGAAAACTTTCCGTTTTCTCCTATTTCCATATTTCCAGCTTCTTACTGATATCAAATCCTTTAGGCTCTCAGTCATCATATTTGTCAGGCCTACTGTAATCGCTTTATGTTCTTAAGAATTAGATTTCTAAATTTACGATCCGAAATAGCGTGGGGTAGCAGGTGTTTCATAGAATGTAACACTATAGCAAGATCCACACGACTATAGACAGGTGCTCACTGCTCATGCCTCGTTTATTAGGGAGGGAGGAGGAGAGAAATTAGGAGTTAGAACCGCCGACTATATAGCTGATATCTAGGAGGCAAATAGTACGTGATGACGTGACTATTTGCAACAAGTATTCCGGAATCCAGACGTTACAAAGGGTCCGGAATCCGGATCTTATAGTGGGTGTTGTCCGGACTACGTGACATCACACGTGACATCACACGTGACACGTGACATCACACGTGACATGACACGTGACCTTGCGCGCTGAAGTTTGTTATTTGTATCTTAACCATGTTGGGACACGTAATGTGTTGCTGCTGGGGTGGTTTATAGTATTTAAGTATTGTGTAAAAGTGTACTAAATCAACAAAATAAAAAACAATGAACTTTCTAGCATTTCAACAGATCAAATTTACTTTCAGCTTTAACGTTTCAGTTTTGCATTAGAGTAGATGTAGATCAATTTGTTGAATCTCTTAGGCTTAGTGCGTAGTCTTCTACTGCAGTAGATATACTCCATGTCTCTAAAATTTTGTTCACAGACTGAGGAAGAAGTCAGAACACTAAAAACTTTTCTAGCGATCAAATGGAGAACCTCATAACTCTGTGGGCTATAGTATCTCCAATACAACATAGGATTTGGTTATAAGACTCTGAAATCGCGCGAAATTTTAAAAACCGCGCGAAAGTTTGACACGTGCCGACACGTGCACTACATTATTGTATCTGCGTACTTTTCCGCAGTATTTTAAAAGTACGAACTTGTACGATACTTTTAAAAGTACGTATGATACATACTTCTCATCTTAGAACAAAACCCTACCCAGACATTTATTCAACCGTTTCAAAGTTCTATCGACTCGTAATTGCACACAACAAAATGTAACTTCTACCCAAATATATTTTAGAGGCAGTGAGGACTGCAAGTCACAGTAAGTTGCCATTTCCCAGCCTAGCATGCTATTGCAATGTGGCTAAACACTGTGTAATCATGGCAACTGGTGTCTGTCTCCATGGCAACTTTTTTGGTTTTCATCGCTATATTTTGTCGCTATAGCTACAAACTTTTTATTCAAGCTGTAGGAGCATCTTTTCCTTGGACATACGATAAAATGAAGGTAAAATAAACTTATCAGGAGGTTAAACTGTTATAAAAAGATGAGTTGGATAAAAATAGCCAAGAATTGAAAATGAAAAGTAATAGTAAGCTATGCATTATGCAATATAGTTTATTGTTTCAATTTCTTTCTTGAACATGCTGTCCAACCGAATCAATCAAAAACCGTTTCTGTTCAAAATAAATCATTTAAAAATAAAGCCTCTGGTTTGAAAGCAATAGTCGTGGAAGTTGTGTGAGTGTGGGTTTAACAATGAATACTGAGTGTGCGACGTGTGTGCAAAACTTGTGAAAAACCTACCACTAAAAATTTCGCTCCTTTTCAGAGATTGTCAACCCGGAACGTAAGTCTAAAAAATAAAAAATAAAATTCAAAATCAGAGTTTTTTTCCTATCGATCCTACCACTGATATGACCAATGAACCAACTATTTGGAATCCTTATTCTGCTGCATTTCGCTGTCACTGCTGATTTAAAGCTTATCCATTGTGCGTGTTTAATTTCCCGCATCCACAAAAACTGTTATTGCGTCGAAAGCCCTATTTTAAAGTTTAGATCAAGAAAGTTCCAAATTGTATTTCTAAATGTCATCCTTTGTTCAGGCCGAATGTCGAACAGTGTCGAAGATGGCAGGAGAGCCTTGAAAACGTCTTACATGACCCTAGTAAGTTATGTTTTGTTTTAGCGATGTATTTTCCAGGTTTTGATCGTTACCTTTAAGCAAGCTATTCTTTGGTATAGTGTTGTTAATGCTTTAATGAAGCTTATGTGATCGAATTTTCATTTTTTCAGAGGGCGAAGCGCACTTCCTGCGCTTTTTGAAGAAAGAGTTCTGCTCAGAAAACTTTGAGTTTTGGAAAGACGTCAAACAGCTCAAAAAGAAGAAACCGGAGGGTGAAAAACTTAAGAAAGACGTGAAAATTATTTATGATGAATACATTGGAGATTCAGCCTCGAAACAGGTAAGATATTGCTTTTATTGATATCTGCAGTAACGTTTGATCTATTGGTTAAGACTAGATCACTTTTCTCTAAATTAATATATAGTTGGTTCGAATCTTAGAGCTGGCCTGGCGTGACGGTAGTTGGAACTCAGCCAAAGGTTCCAGGAGCTCCCTAACCTACCCAACCAGATTAAAGAGAAATTTGTTTCTTCTAAAACGTATATACTTTGTACAGTATTAATTTATCTACTGACTTTCAATAAACAATACACTTTACAGATAAATGTGAACGGGAAGCTGAAAGTGGCAATAAGGGACACGATTGACGAGCCCTATATCGAAATGTTTGACGATGCCCAGAAATTTGTGATACAGTTGATGCGGGACGGCCCCTACCGACGTTTCATCGACGAAGATAATCTCCAAGAGATACTAAAGGGTCACGGATGAGGGTTTCACGAGGAAAATCGTTGAACATTAAATTATTGCGGTAAGTTTAATTTGGTTATCTGTTCATACAGTCTCATCATTTCACCTTCCCACTTTTAATTGGAATCATGAGACGACTTTCGTTGATTAAAACCAATTTGATGATTTCTTTTCAATTAAGACTAACCTTAATTCTGGATGAAATGTTAGAAAACAGATGTGGCGCCAGTTGCGACCACAACAATTTATTCGCTAGTTTTCTAATTACCGATGTGTTTCAGGGTGTGGGTGTAGCTAACACAACGTCTGTGTGTATATGCAGTGATAGAAGATTTCTCAGATGCATAAAGGAGTATGGGGGCGGGGTTGCGGTGTTCCCAGTTGCCTGGGGACCAGTGTACTAGGAGTCACCAGCCCCTACCGACCCTGTGCACGTGTCGGTCGCGCGACAGTCTCTCTTCAACACCTGATTACTCACAGCGGACCGGCATCCCGCCCTGCCCCCCAATTTATACGTTCTCTTAATCTCTCTCAACAAAAAACTTGCCTTGTTTTATATATCGGAAGGTTTGTCAGACCTGTGCTCAGTGATATGAAAATATTGGCTCGCTTTGTTTTAACCCACTCTACCTCTCGTTATTACCTCCACTGAGAACTACGTACCACAAAAATAACCGTACTACATGGACTACATGATAATATCACTCTCCAGAGAAAAAAGTGACTTGTGAAGCAGCGTCGTTATAATTCATGCGTATGTTTGATTAGCCGGAACAGAAATATTTATATACAATTCTGACGATATGTTTTTATTTAATATTTTGTTGATGGTGGTATGAGGCTTTAGGTTTGTCAGTTGCTGTGGTTCGTACCGGCGCACCGGTCTCACAATAGCTTAGCCCATGATCCTATTCTGAGTCCGGCGCCGCTCTTTGGCCCCTGTTTTGCACACCGTTACTTATGGGCACGTGCGCAGCGCGGCGCGCGTGTTACTTCACCCGTCGTTGCCTTGACAACACCGTGTTGTAACACGTGCGATTCGTGCTGAATTCAAAGTATAAGTGTGCACTTCAGGGCCAGCAGGCGGCATGCTCTGCCTTGCTGCGTCACTGATGGACTAATAGACGTGTGGGCTTCCCTATTAACCGCGTTGTTTGTGGTTTTGGGGTCGCTCCAATTTTGTCCTGTATTGTTATTTGAATTTCTAAGCGTCTTTTTGGGCCAATGTTGTAAATATGAAATAAAGATAACGTGCTCATAGCGCGTATCTTACCGTGAATTTGTGTTACCCAATTATGTCGGGCTCGCCATCGGGCCCCTCATAAATAGAAGCAGTATTTTATTTTGTTACCTCTTTCAATATATATAATACTAGAAAACCCGTGGTCACAGGGAGGAACCTAATAGTTGATAGTATTCTTTGGAAGTCAGTGTCAAAAAGTATTCATCCCCACCGAAGATACAGCCAAATAAAATGTTGCTTGTACTAAACACAGCGTAATATCAACAAAACCGATCAAAATGACGTTAAAACAATCATTGCACGTGCACGTGCGTGTAACAATCCTCGTTACCATGGTAACTACGCAACTTCCTATTTCTCGTCTGATTTGCACGTGGGCGGTCGTACAAACAACAAAAACAATTCTCTGAATTATAATAGAGATGAAATTTTAGCTATAGCAATTAGAATCGCTAATATAGTAATTAGTTATATGATTGTTAGGACATAGGTATGTATGATGTAATGAAAATTCTATGTAATACTAATTACATCCTTTCAGTCAAACTGAAAGGACGACACATTTATTAGCATTTATCTATTTATTTTGATGATAAATAGATGAATGCCATGAAAACCATAAAAATTAGTTCATAGCTTTGGGTTTAAATTTACTGTAGTAAGGGTCATGAATAAAAAATAAGTATTTGGTGAGTAATTAATGACTAGTGAATACTTAGATTTTCCTGAATCTCAACTCTCAGGTTTAGTATTCAGAAAACTCGAGTAGGAACCGCCAAGTATGAGCTCATAATACGATTAGACTCAACCTTGAGTACGACTTGAATCTATGTAAATGATCAGCGAAATTCCCAGAAAATAGTCAAAAACTAAGTTTCAATAATCGGGGTTAATTTTCGGCCGTCTTATACGTAATTATATAAGTCACACCTGCCCAAGCTAGAGAGCCATGGCAGGGCCAGCAAGCAAGGCCCGGACCAAAACAAACTGAGCCGACTGTGGACTGGATATAGAAAATATCAATATGGAAACAATATTAACAATAATAAAATAAAATAAATAGTATTAAGGAGAGACAAACCGGGGCCCCTCCACGGGCCGAAGAGAAAGGTGATCCTGAGTGTTGGGTGTTCTTCTCTTCTTCTTTATTGAGGGTGGACGTGGATATCCAGTCTTGTTTGCTGTGGGGGGTTCTGTTCTTGTGAACGTATAATCCTGTGTATTGCAGGGGATACTGGCGTCCATCAATTATACAAATGGATAAGTCATTAGTTATAATAAGAGCGACAAAAGAGGGTCGGGCAGAATCGAGGTGAGCGGTAAAATGGATCATCTCCCTCACTCAAAAACAGCATAAGCTGAAACGAGATCAGCAAAGGGTGCCGACAGATGGTAGCTAAAGTAACTGACCGTTAGAGTTTGCGTGACTCTATGGTACTGGTCGCTAAGCACCGTAGTGGCGGCCCAAAAGAAGGTGGTAAGTCAGTGAGGGAGATGATCTGGCTGTTCAAAAAGCTAAGGGGGATCAAAGAAGTCTAGGTACTTTTTTATGATAGAGTTACTGAACACTTGTTTCCTTGTTAGTGCGTAGGCTGGGCATCTGGTTAAGAAGTGTTCTAGGTAGTTTCCATTTCCTCTTCACATTTGTTGCAGATGTTGGAGTCAGCATGACTCTATGGTACTAGTTGCGAAGCACCGTGCTGGCGTCCAAGCAGAAAAAAGGTATGCCTGGAACCGCTTATTATATCACCTAAGGAGGTTAAAAGCAGTCTAGAAACTTCGCAGTAACAGTAAATTAAAATATAAGTTTATTGATAAGTAAATGCAAGGGTGTAGAATAAACCTCTATTTTAAAAATGAAATTTTCGAACACGTTTTTCGTTAATAGTTCGTAGGCTTGGCATCTGGATAGGAAGTGTTCTGTAGAATATATTTCCTCTTTGCATTTGTTGCGGATGTTGGTAGGTTCATAACCTATCTTGTATTTGGAAGTATTTAAGATCTGAATAGTGCCTTGATCGGGTGATCTTGGCTCTCAGTTCCTTTTTGTGGGGGCTGCTGAGTGCTGAGTGGCGTCTTCTCCTTAGGAGGTTTGGTTCCTCTGACATTGTCATGGTGGTGTCCAGGTCATGAACATTTGAGTCCCGTCTCAGTAGATTTGAGATTGTATTTGTAAAACTGAATCTCTCTATAGATTTTCTAATTCTGTAACGTTGGCATTAATACATTAATGATATTAATTGTTTCAATCAAGTCAGCTGTAATTTGCTGTACGTCTTCGTCCGGACGATACACTCCTGTTAGACCTTCTATATTTGGGGTCCTCCAGAATACTTGTGAGTCTTGTTATTGGATTTAAATTCTTTGACTGAGATCAGAATTAAGATACATGGTCCGAAGAATGTACAATTGACAATAAGTAATTCAACATCATATGAAATGACAAGCAAGGTAAGTGAAATGAGTACATTCAATTTTACCAATACCATGTAAAATGGTCAAAACTATGAACCCATCTATCAGTTTCTACAAATGACAAAGCGGTTGTAGGTTTTATAACCTACCAGGACGCGCGCCGAGTTGGACTCGTCGACGGTTCCAATATATGGAACAGATATTTTACGAGTATCGTAAGCCTGTAAATCTAAAAGATCAAATACAAAATATGTGCCCATATCTTGGAGTTTGTAGTACTAGTATCACGGATACCGTTGTCGGATAGATTTATCTGGTGACCCCAGGCTATAATTTTTTCATAGACATAAAGATTCGGCGGCCGCCGAAGATCAAAGATTGAAGATACTGCGCGGGATGACTGATGACAAGCTGAGCGCCACCCAGTAACACAGCATAGAAATATGCAATACTGAATATAACATATTTTTTGTTTGCAGTTTGGCGCAGGTTATATCTTCACCGGAAGCACTTAGCACATTTAATTTTATACGTATGAAATATGTCTATAACTTGCTTGATTCTGCACTAAGTTGACGTGCTCCGACTAGAATTGAACGGGGAATCGTTTAAAATAACTTTTGAGGCACTTCGACATAAGCTATGTACTTAAGCTATTGTGCTTTTTACGGAGAAATAAGTTGTATCACGTCGTGACCCCCACTGTCGTTTCACTATAGTAGAGTTTCTACGATACAGGGGGAGCCGCGCACTCGTGCGCGGCGGGTCATACTTGCTACACGTTTTTTACCTCTCGTGCACGCGATCAAAAGGGGTTGCAGCGTGTGTCAAGGTCATACAACGTATGACAAGAAAGACAGCGCTTTTGAGCTTTTTATTCTCTTTCAAAACACAAAAGTAATCCAAGTAATTTATATAGGTGCATATATTGATTCTGGATACATTGCAAAAGATTTGATCTCGATTTATGAACAATGAAATTTGAAGGAAGTTAACTGCAATGTGCGAAATTTGGAGAGCCTGCTTTCGGTGGAGATATAACCCATAATATGTGCCTTTTTGTTTTTATGATTTTTTTAAAATGGTTTAATGATTAGAAATTAGATTCAAGATTGTTGATTGATAATGCCAACCCCTTCAATGTTCAAGCTTACCTGGCAGGCTAGTCTCTGTGCGCGGTGCTCTTTTCAATTAGCTTCCTGAACAGCTATAACAGAGAGAAGCAACAAGCAAGCAATAAACTTATTGGGCCGCACTCAGCCTGTCATTCCGCCGAATCTCTATCACAGTGCTGGCAAGCACGACCGTTGCATTTATTGTGGGTATACTATGTTCCCCATTTACTATTATACCCCTTTTACTATTATACCCCTTTGGTACACGTAACAAGCCTCTTTTGTGCACGCGAAGCGTGCACTCCGGCCGGAGGCGGCGGCCGAAGGCCGCCGCCTCCGGCAGGAGTTTTCCAGGCATTAAGACTCATCGGAAGTCGTTCAGCAGATTTATTTTTAGTTCAAAACATTCTAATTTGATGTCAAAGATGACAGGAATAAAAAATAGTTATGTTCAGATTTTTAAGAAATTTGCATAAAATACTCGCCAGCACTGTTATACGAAATTCGGTAAAAACCCAAAATCGCCATATTCAGGTGTCCTAAAAACCATGTTAAAATTGAGTTAGAGATCTGAAATTTTTCAGGGCGTCTAGACGTTGACCAAATTGACTGCAAAAAAAGTTTCAGGTTTCAGGAGCATCGGGAAATGGGTTTTCTAGAACCCCTGTTTTACGACAGATTGTCGGGACATATACAGATATACATATATATTCAGGGATAGACGCTTTGCCAGTCAATTGTAGCCTGTATTTAAGTGTCCATAGATTCAAAAGTATAAAAGATACAGCCATTTCCGACCACATGTCTTGCAAATAATTGTTTACACTTTAGTTTACATTGTATAAAAAATTTATTTGACGTCATAAACACCCCTTGATGACGTCATCAAGTTAACCGTTTTTAAAACTTGATTTTTGACAAAGTAATAACTTTTAAAATTAATTTTAACCCATTAAGGAGTAATTTTATTCATAATCTGAGGAAATTTTTACCTTAGATAATTGTTCAAGCATTCTGAAAATCTACCGGAAAGTTTTTCTAGCTTGCTCCTTCATAAAGATATTTGTCATTGAAGTTTGTGCTTTTTTGAAGAATTATTTTATAAAAACGTCAATTTTGCGATTTAGTATTCTTTGGTGTTGGGCCATGCCTTGGGTTGTGGAGCTCAGTTCTGCTTCCTATAGGTATAAATTGTGCATTAGGCTAGTTTTAAAGTTGAAAATCGAAAAGTTGCACACGTGGGGACACGCCCAAATTGATAGAAAATTGCTAAAATCACTGAAAATTGCTGTTTTCGTCATTTTCTGTCAACTTTAGAGTGCCGTTGTGATTACAGTTCTTCTTGAAATACTTTGAAACTTTGCATGCTTATCAAGCTATATATAAAACAATTACATGCAAAAATTTAGGGCGATTCAATATTGGATGCGCATGCAACGTCCGCTCAAAGTTTGCACGTGCGAAAGGTGAGAATTTTGTTCATTCGTGATTTCCAACAAATTCTGCTTTGCCACGACAGTTTAATGTCATTATATATGAATTTAATGTCAACTTGAAT